GTCAGCCATTCCATCCTGTAAAGTAAACATTGCTACAGAATCTTGAAGCCACTAGCTTGAAGCCCTATGTTCCACTGGGAGACGTGAAGGAAAAAATTATGAGCAATAATTATCAGTTATTGTTTGTAGATTATATAAAACTAGTTAACTAAATTTTGTAATTTATCCATCAGTTATCTAAACATTTCATTTCATGTTCCGTTAACAGATAGCCTTTATAGGCATTTCCATAACCTTTTGGGACACTGTGTGACGGTAAATATTTGAAATGAACTTACCAGGAGAATATTCTTTGCTGATCTATTTTTCCAAACTTACTTTACAATTATGTATCTACAGAAATCGCCACTGCATACAATTAATGCATCGCAGAATATTATTTTAGAAGACAACCTACCTAGTCAGGGCTATTATTTGGAGCGAATGCAAGCAAAACTAGGGGATCTTCCAGTATTAGATTTTCCCAGAAGTGCTCACTTGTGACGTCGTCCCAGGTCCATGAATGTTTCCGAGTTGACCATACTACCATTTAGCCAGTGATCCATGAAGTTGAGTCATATCCTTGATGAAGTCACAGATGTGCTATCCTGGCGAGTTATTATCTATGACGGAATAGCCCTCCAGTGCTCCCAGATTTTTATCACCCCAACAGTTAATGTATTTTAATACAGGATACGTGTCTTTAGATCAACCAGATATTTAAAACCTTAACATCAGATTATAACTATTACTGTTGTTGTGTTTGTGTCTATTTACGATGAATAATTTCTAATCTGCCACAGCTTTTGTACAAATTCCTTAATAAAAATAAACAAATGAATAAAAGTCTATGATTCCTATTATTACTCACTCGAATTGGTCACTGAAAGGTAATGCTTGAAGTCGTTAAATCCATAACGCTGATCAAAGTCTAACGATCAAGCTACTGAGATGTGATCACTAAACTATGAGATGTGGTACCAATGTACACCATCTTGGCATTATTACATATATGTTTGAAATAAGTGGAGAAACAGCATTGATTATGGACTGACATCAGCCAGAGAATCACTGAAAATCATTCTAGCCAAATGGCATACAGATAAATAACTCCGAATTCTTATTTAAGCCGACTCTAATATTTCTGAATGGTTTAGTAATATGTCAGGTATCCATAGTGGTTCAGTGATACCTCAGTGCATCCCAATCCCACACAGAAATGAACCACAATACTCAAGATATATTGGCTTTTACATCTGAATTTTCTACCTAACCATTGATAACATAAATACTCTCGGTTTTCTGAAAAGGAAGATTTATTATTCTGGAAAGAGTACTTGCACAGTATAGTGATGTATAATTCCATATTTCGTTTGTTTACCTGGTATCATATCTAATGTTGTGGCATTATTTACTGTATGATATCAGGGTAGCAATTTATTGCCCCAAATCATATCACCTGCTTTAGTTTAAATGATGCAATAAAGAGATATTGAATATACATCGAATACTAGTGTAATCTATAAACAATTTTGATACAAGCAGTATAGTAAGAACTCAGGCAGTTTGACAGACACTACTTTGTTCATTCGGCTTAAATGCAGACTGATTAATTAAAGCGAAAAACGAAGAGAACTGTATTTTATTTTTTTTAATTAAAATTTTTTTAATTTAGCTTGATTTAACACCGTATTTTTTTGTAAAAGTATGGAATTTTCTGCATGTGATATCCGTAGCCCGAATTTTGCAGGCTGTTGTTCCTCTGATCAGTAGCAGTTGTTAAGAAATTAACAGTATAGTGTCTAGAAATATAATTATCGACATATTCCTTTCAGAAGTATAACTAGTGAATAACACAAAAATGGACACACATTCACCTATACTCAAGCTCCAGTTGTCTACTCTGTTCTCTCTAAGAAGTTATATTTATAAGCTAACAGTAAGATAATCTTAAGAAAGTACTTTTGTAGAATGGAGAATTCAGCTGAAACAATAATGAATAATAATTAATATTAAAAAAAACTCACGAATGTACATGGAAAAAACACCCTTGTTTTAATGAATTTATTGAATTTATCATTTAAAAAAAACCTAGCTTCATATACATTTGTAAAAATTTATTGACTGCCTAATAAACCCTACAAATTTCTCTCTCTTAGTGATTGAATATTTTGTTAAATATTTTATATTTAAGTTGTCCGTCACACGCACACACCATACATTAGGATGGGATAAGATGACAGTTTCAAAATCTAATGTAACAGGGTGGAGGGAGATATTGATAACGGAAGTTTTATTTATCGAATCAACTGCGAATACGTGTAATAGGAATGATTCAACATCTGTCCCAGATATCTGGAAAATTCTACTACCCGTACGACAAATAAGAGAGAACAGAAAAGACTATAAATCTCAAGTTTCGAAGTTGTGTGATTATAAGTGATGTGATTATGAACCAATAATATTGTTCGAATCGTCCTCCAGTGATTAATACTGTTTCACTGTGTGATGCATCTAATAAACAAACTATTGTGGGATTACTTATTACCACAGAGCCGAAGTTTTACACCTATATTAATATGTCCGTCACATAGTTTTCATTCATCATGACAACTCAATAAAAATCAACAAGAAAAGGTGATGAACACTTGTTCAATATTTAATTTTTATCAATTTAGTGGGAGGCTGATAGACTAGTGCAGTTTTATGAGTGGTAATCCCTTGACTACATGACAGCAGGTCAGTTATTTTCACTTAAGTTTTTTTCCCCTTATCAATCACATAAATCACTGTTTGTACCATAACAATACAAGCAATCAAATAGTCATCAGAAAATCTCAGTAGATCTAGTACACCGTATACTAGGCATACATTAGTTGATTTACGTATCTTTAAATTCAGTTAAGGCCATAAACACGATTTTAACAGTAGTTTTCCAGTGGTTTTCTAACTGCTGTCATCTCATCATGAAATCCTCTAACCAATCAAACAGATGATTCAAAAGTTGAAAAGGGTATACCACGTGTACAAAATAACATGTTATTTTTAAAACAGTAAGAAAAGACACCTTGTACAGATTTTCTAGTCATGAAAGTGGACATAAATCTAAGTAGCTGTGAGGCTGGGACTAGAAATCTACAGTCTAGATCTATTTCTGTGAATCTATTTCAGATCCACAGTTGTGGAATTCAATCTATATATATGTTATTTAATTTTTTATATTATGATAATTATTGAAACGCAATTTAAGCTTAAATTGTATTCTATAATTATCACAGATATATGTCAGTAAAAGCAAATTAAATACAGTCACTTTAGCCAATATATTGTAGACTTATTCGGGTGACTACTGAGATCATAAGAAAAACCTGAACTGCAGTAGGATTCGAATGATTACTATTCTAACTCATATGAAAGGATTTCGTTCAGGAGATGGCATTATAATAAATTTTCCACATGACATCTGAAGGAATCTCTCAGTGAACAAGGTGGCAGTTAAATCATGTCGACCATTGGCTGGTGCACAGTATGGGTAATTCGGAAGGTGATTATAAAAATCCTATTGTAATGGGGGTTCTCGTTTTAAGTAAAATTATCATCCTATTATACGATAACTATGCTTCACCGAAGTTAACTAGCTAGGTATTTTCGCCTGATTATCAAGCGAATGAGGGATAAGCAGATATTTGTTTTGAATCACGCTTGTTGCCAAATCATATTCTGATTTCCAGAAATAAATTAAATCACTAGTGCAACTGGTTGATGATTGGTTGGTATACTGATTTATACACATATTACACAAAAGGCATGTCTAATGGTTCACTTAGTTAAGCACAGTGTCAATAACCTCAGATGCGATCAATTAACACCCCCTTATTACCTAACTTCATCTTACGCTTTAGTCATCCTTCATGTAAATGACGGTTTCATACTTGTCATTTATAAAGCTGAAAGAAACAGTCCTTAAACTAATGACTCAAACCAGTAGTCCTCGTTATGATCAAACTAGATAACTCCTGGAATAATATATCTCATTCACCTTACTTGCAACGAAGTAATCAGCTTTCTCGACTAATCTAAACTGTGTAAGAAAATTTATTAACATTTCCAGTGATACATCACAAGTTATTCAGTCTTCCTATCAGAATGAACTGAGGAAAAAACTTCGATAAATGTTCTCCTTCAAGTTGATCAATGACTGACTACGTGTTTCAGCACTCGTATTAATTTAAAATCTCTACACAACGCATATTACGTAGAATACATGGCAATTATATGCTAAATATGAAATACCAAGTCAACTGATATACTTCGATTTCAGTCATTTGGTCGAGAAAGATGTACCTGAAGCACGATGTCATCCTTGTCTATTTTTGACTTCTTGTTCAGAATATTAGGGCTTAGTAGTCACTATCTCATACTAAATATTCTAAATGCTTAACGGAGTATAGCAGTTGGATAGTGAGTCACATAGAGATTAATACACCAATATATAACGTGATGAACCATAATAATAAGTTTTTTAAAGTATTTTTTCACAATTCAGGTTGTTTTTCTTAAAATAACCTCACTTTGAACCTCCCTTAAGATCTTCTCGGGTAGTTTAAGTTCGACAAACTTATACCTACGTAAATAGTGATGAAAGAGTGTGAAGTGGAAATTTAAGTCTTTACAAAATCGAAACTGTGGCACAACATTCCTCGAATAATATGGATGCAGTAGGGTTCTTTTTATTGAGAAAATAAAGATAAAGAAAATCTTTAATGTCCCTTTAAATGAAAATGATCCTAGATATTGAATTTCACGAAGTACGTCTGATTCTCTCTAGGTGAATGCATTTACATTATGGTGGAATATGATTTTCTGATCACTTCAGATACCAAGCCTTCGGGCCATAACCATGAATTTTTGTCCACTGAACATCGATTTCCAACACGAAATTTTTAACAACACTATGTAAATGAATTTATAACTCATAATAATCATTGCTGAGCATTTACTTAATTAAAACAACAAATTACCTTTAGCTTTACTTGATTTGGCTCGAGAGTAAATACCTTGAAAGTACTGCACATGTTTATGTGCAGCTGCGGCAGCTAGAACAGCATTTGAATTTGAATTAGGAATATGATTTTGATTATAATTTGTATGCGGATAAGAATTCAACGAGGTGACACCGAATAAAGATGATTGACATGTAGTAGGCAAAAACATTGAACTAGCTTGTTGTGTTGAAGGGAAATATAACGGATGATATTCACGCTGATTTTGAATAGAAGAATATGATAACAATGAAGACGATGATGATGACGGTGAAGACGACGGTGTACAAAATGATCTTTGGTATAACGAATTCATATTCGACATAGCAGTTGAAGTAATCGACGTAACCAAGGAATCAGAAGTAGGGGACGAAGTAGCTCTTGTACACAAATTAGTGAGAGATGCAGAATTGCAAGAATTAAAAGATTGAGAATCGAAATTATTGTACGTTGCTGCAGCCATAGCAACACCATGGTATAGACAAGAACGTGCATAACTTGCAGCTGCTGCTGCAGCGACTACAGCACACTGACACCTGGAGACATCATCATAATTATTATAAGGTATAGGAACAGAATGATTATCGATATTATCTACACACGACCATGAGGATTTGTGGGGATTTTTATTCGTAGTTGGTGAATTAAATTCGTCGACTTCTATACGGTGTTGCTGTTGCTGATGCTGTTCATGAGGATGTGTAAAGTTATTGTTCACTGTTTCGTTGTGTGAGTAGGTATCCACTTGGTGAAAACTAAAATTACGATTCACATTATTATTATGGTTCACAGTTTGAATATGACCTGAATTTAGATCCTGTACGTTTTGCAATAATGATGATGATGATGATGGCATTGGTATCAATGTATTTGTAACTGAATGAACTAAATCGTTGGGGTTTATTGAATTCATTGAAGTAACGAGCTGGTGTGAAATATCAGAAGAAAAGGAAGACGATGATGATGATGAAGAACTTGACGAATTAAATGTATTTGCATTGGATGTATTCAATGCTAGTGAGTTGCTTAGAACAAATGCTGAAGGTGCCCATAGATATTTCAAACTTGGCATTATTTAATTTGTCCAGTGCCAGTGTGTTCAACCTCAATTTCACTAAATTTACTATATATACTTAAACAATGTAGTTTCTTGACTCACTTATACTAAATTATTATTCATTGACACTAACGTACAAAAAAGATGACTTAATAAAATCAAGTTATCAATTTTAATATTTAAATTATTTTTTCAGGTCACAATTTTCGGTGACATGATAAGCAAAAAGTTTTTGATTTAATATTTCAAACTTTTTCAATTAAATCGACAACTAGAAACAAGGTGATTGATAGGTAAATAAATAAATATGGACTAATGAACAAGATTAACAGTTACAACAAAATGTTTTACACTTACGTTTTGAACACGAAGTGAATGTTTTAAGCACAGCGAACAATTCTGACTAAGTCAGTTTGTCTACCATGATGAATAAAAGGAACTGACTAACCGACATATATAAAGTGAAGAGTAACTGATAGAACCTTTTACTTTTTTGTCTGCATATATTGATATGTTTCTTTTTTTACATTGGTGAATTTAAAGAATTATTTAAAGTTTCAGTTTCCAATAATGGAAGTGCGAAATGTGTTGAATAAATTCACTTTTTTTTGAGAGAACAATTTGAAAATGGATATGAATGACGAACTAGTTTTAACTGGAGTTTGTTCTCAAATTCGTCTATTATACGTCTAAGGTAAATGGCGTGTAAGTTTGTGTGTGTGTGTGTGGATGTGTGGACCGACATAGGAAGAAATTAACCATTACTATCATAAAGCGACCAATCGGCGTTAAGATTATGTGATACACAGTGATTGGTTGCTTTAATTTTCATTTGAAAGAAAGACAAATAACAGAAGAAGAAAGAATAAGCTTACCGAATTTGAAAACCCATGAGGATAGAAAAATTTAAAAAAGTTGAACAGGATTTTCATTTTTTGACTTTCATTCTTTTCCAAAGCAAAAGAGTGCATACTATTCACATTAATATAGAAAATGCTTTTTTGTCCTCTATTATTACCGTTCTATTTTGTTGTCATTCTTTTGCTTAGATTCCTCTGCGAAATATATGCACACATGCATAGGTACACATACACACATGTTAGGTAGTAATCACTGTGGATAAAGAGGGAGAACAGAATGAGAAAGGAAGAGAGAGGAGTCGGAGGCAGAAAAACAGAGAGTAAGGCAAAAACAGGAAGAAAAATCAACCACAAAAAAGTTAGTGAACATTCCAAAGTGAAAGTGTACACCTTTTTTTGCATTCGATAAGATAAACAATCTTCATAGGTCATAAAAGATAACTTAAAAAGTCTTCGAGTAGGCAGCAGATAAAGATAATGAATAGCAGATTAAGTAAATGGGGATATATTGTTTAAATGCATGATTCTATTGTTTCCACATCCGGTTGTTTGTCCACCACTGAAGTGTCCTAAACTAGGATGAAACAGTTAATCAGTACTCCTTATTTTTCAATCCATAAATGAAAGAAAAGTACTCCATAATATGATGTTAATTAACTATGGTACAAAATCAATCACTCCCTGGCATTTTTCTTCATCTCTTAGTTATACACTTTATTCAAACAGAAAAGGGAAGGAGCTACTCTTAGTCTTTACAGCTAAGCTGGTTGATAGGTCCCAGTGAGTCAGAAATACTGTGATATAAAAATATTTAACTCCTTCAGTTAACTGTAGAAGGACTAGGAATTTGCCTCCACATCTTTCCTGTCTCCTTATTTCATAGTCACCATTAAATTAGATTTAAGACATACCACAAATACAAAGCACTCGTTACCTCACATCGTATCTGGACGACTTAAAAGTGTCCGTTAAAAAAAATTAAAAATAGACAGCGAAAATGACAAATAATACTGACGGTTATTTAACAGTGGAAAAACTAACTAGAAATTATTTGCATACTGGTAAGCATAATGTTGTCTATTTCTGACACCACTTAGATTCTAACTACTCTTTTTGTTGTCCAATCATTTGACTAAACTGTTTTACACCGCAACAAAATTAATCCAGGTTACAGCTGTTGAGACAACCTACAAAATCTTGGAAATAGACCTTTTATCTGATGAGATCTAGTCTCTTGAAAAGAACTAGCTTGTGTTCAGAGGAACAGAGCACGAAATCGACTAATCTAGCCTCACATCGGTTGACATTTTATCGGTAGCACGTATCTCTAATTGTAATGAAATTTATGTTAATGTAGAAGTTAAAAGCATCATCAATAAGCAGCAAATATTACAATAAGTATACTTTACTAATCAAACATCAACAAGCATGTAATGTACACCGGATATCTTCATCCTTTAATTCTAATCACTAGAAATTATATTGAATTATTTATAGATAATACATGATTATTCACAGCTGCATTCTAATGAATTCGGTGTTTCTAACAAAAGACTAACACCTTGCAGTTTAGTTGTTTTTTGCATCAGGTTGGACTTTGTCTTTAGTACAGTTTCGAGAGGATGTGATTTCGGTACTTATTTCAAGAGTATTCAAGCAGTATGCCTTACTAAGTTTCTTAACTAATTCACTGTTGTAGGCGTCGCTAATTTTTATCCTTGAACATTTTTAACCACTTTTTGTAGTCTAACTACTGAGGCACTGCCAGCTTACCCCTTATCACCTCTGTCTGGTTCACGAAGGCAGTCTCTTTAGATGTGAATGCTGCAGATAGTCCAATTGGGGTTCTACTTGCCTTCCAGAAAATTCGGATTTTGTCGTCGATTTGATTGATAAGTTTGTAGTTGCTCTACCTTTGGGCTTCACTTTAGAAATGATTTTATTTCTAGGCAGCATTTTGCTTTATTCGCCTTCTTCTGCTGTCTGACTAGTACAATGTAATTGACTATTTTTAGCGATAATAACTTCAAGAAGACAGTGTAAATATAGGGATAAAACTTGGGCACTGTGGTTGAGTACAATTCCATTATGGATAAAATTTTATTTTGATAAAGTCACACCACCTTTCGAGCACAATTTATTGCTCATAATCATATCAAGTTACTCACATAACTTTCTTGCTTCGTTTACATACATAAGTAAAAAGTGATTAGACATTTGAATAAAAGCAATTTAAGACTTGTGCGAAACAGAATGGAAGATAAAGTACATTTGGAAGTATTATTAGTGTTGTCAATAAAATACAATAGGATGGGAAATAAGATGTTTTTATAGTAAAATAAATAACTTGTTAAAACATTATAATATGAATTGAAATATTTTTAACGTTATTTATTATCCTCTGATTTGACTGGTAGCAATAATATCTTTCAAATCTCTGGTATTTGCTTTGAATCACTTGTATTGCATGTGTTGGGTGTAGACTCGATAACCTAGGATTCAGAAATCAATCTCTATCTTCACCTACCTATATTTTTTACAATTTTGACCGTCCCACCCCATTGTGTGGCTGTGTGTTAATGTATGCAGTGCGATTGCTGATGTTTTTTCTAAATAACTTATTTCGTAGAATCAACCATTCCAACCTTCGCTAAATTCTTATGTTCTGATAATGTCACTACTCCTGGTCTACTAATTTGACCTATATAGTTGACCTCTCAGTCACTGCAAGGTATTTTGTAAACTATTTTGTTTATTTGGGTTCACTGGGTCCTTTAACCTACAGAGCTTGTCTCTGAGTGAGTTTGTAGATTTGAATGGCACCCTAATTCCTGCTTTATTGAGAATCCTACATAGGTTCTCAGATGTCTCTCCCTTATATGGTAAAACGTCACCAGTAAATACTACTACATAACACTGTGTGACTTTATCAAAATAAAATTTTCTCCATAATGAAAGTTAGTGTAGACTTGAGAAATATTATTTTTTCTTCAACAGAGATTATTTTTCTCTACGAAAAAGAGTTGAGGTTGGAACGTTGTTTTTTGGTTGGTTAGTAGACGGTTTCTAAGCATATATGCCTTTGATTAATTGTCCATTCAAATTTCAAAACTACAGAAATTCTGTTGCACTGTAGGAAGTGAAACTTTGTGAATTTTTATGTTTCCTCATCAAAAATATGGCACAACAGTTAGTCTAGATAATTTCACTGTTTTTCTTGTATGCGGGGATAAAATGTAGTCTTGGAAACTTACTTCATTCGTTCATTAAAGAAACACAGTTGGTTTATACCAGTAAAATTGATTAAAGCTTGTGGAATTATGCATACAACTGACTAAATAAGAATTTTATAAATTCTGATTACAGTAAGTATTCTATGTCCCTTTGATAGAATGAAGGATTTTTGTATATGTGCGTGCACTGAGTCCGCCAAGCATAACACATGGCATAGCCATGAGATCATCACTAAGTCCAGAACTTGCAAATATTTTCATTGCAAGTTTGGAAGTTGACTATCGACCATTTCTTTCTGTAGAAAAGGTATGCTGATGATAATTTTATCGTTTGTGGTAACATATATAGCCTAAATAATGTCCAACAAGTTCTCAGGAGTTGCCCTCCAGCCATCAAATTTACAACTGAAGTAGAAACTGGACAAACGATATCCTTTCTGGAGGTTTTACCACCACAGAAGGCTGATGGGATATTGAACATTTTAGTATAAAGAAAGCCTACTTGGAGCTTCCAGTTGACAAACTTTTACAGTTTAATACCCATAAATCTCAAGCGAAGACATTAAAATATTTTTTGAGATTAGGATTCGAAGAATTTGCAGACCTGAGAAGGTAGATGAAGACACCACTCTTTCAAGGAAGACACTAACTGAAAGTGGCTATCCCCTGCGCTTCATACATTGCCATACACACCAAAAAACAAATAAGAAAACCCCATATGTGCACCGAAGAAGATGTTATACATGAACGCGGCGTTCGAAGGTGACCTTCTGGTTGACACTATAGGGAAGATAGTATCAAACGTTCTGAAAAGAACATTCTTTGCTTTTACATTAGGACTGGTGTTTTCGTGAGGCTCTATGTTCGCGAATAGCTCCAACGACAAACTATCATATTTGACCACTTCTGAGTGTATCTACCAATCCACCTGCTCATGTGGAGCGAGATATATAGGTCGTTCAATGCGTGCTTTATCTAAAAAGTCAAGGAACATTATTCCACTTGACCAAAGAAAGGTCACAATGTGTCACTAAGGAGTAGTATAGTAAAACATATTTAACACTGACCTCCAGGGTGTGCAGAAAATTGATGCAAATTTACCTACAAAATGAAAAGAAGCCTCCGAAAAAACGGTGTGCTTCTGTATACTATGTATTGCTGAGACCTTAGTGATTCGAAAGGAAAATTCTGATTTATGTACACAGAATAAATTTTGCCATCCCCTTCTTCTATCGCGGGTATGATTCCAAGCTCAGTTGTTACCAGTAATTTGTTATTTTTACTATTTTTTTACATTTCTCCTATGACATTAATTAACAAGCTCTCTTTGTAACCAGAAGGTCTTGGGTTCGAACCCCGATGGGTGCATACTGACGAAGAGTCCCAAACTAGAACGAAACAGCTGTCCAGTAATCCCAGGTTTTCTAGTGGTTCTCTAATCAATGTCAGCTCATGATGAAATCCTGTAACGAATTAATTAACAATATTTTAAAAACTTCATGCAATTCTTCGCATTAATAAACTTGAACAAAGCAAGAACAGCAATTGTACCAGGATAATATGAGCTCATCTTTTATTATTTCGAG